ATGGGACCTAGTACTGAACCCTGCGGAACATCCTGCGATAAACTGATGCTGGTATCTTTTTTCTCTTATGGACCTGTCAGTAAAATATCTGTTAATTACGTTGACTAGATACTCACTAACACCCAATTTTCTCAGCCTGGGTATGATTCTTTTACATGATGCCATGTTAAAGGCATTCTTGACGTCAAGCAGGATGAGAGCCACCCATCTATTTGTATCCTTCGTAACAAAGAGGTTACTTCTGTAACCGCATCTATGATGGACCTTTTGGCCCTAAAACCATATTAGCAGTCGCTCAGCGTATCCATTTCTTTTAGCTTGCGCTCAAACTTCTTCTTCTTTAAGTTCCATCTTCTATCGAAGGTTGGAAATCATCATGGCTATGCGGACTCTGTTGACTGCCGCTCTAAAATGTTCTGCACTACTGCATTCAAACCATTCCCTTAAGTTCTTAAGCCAGGATATTCTTCGTCTTCCCACATTTCGCTTTCCTCGGATTTTGCCCTGCATAATAAGTTGTAATAATGCGTATTTTTGCCCTCTCATCACATGTCCCAAGTACTCAAGTTTTCGTCTTTTAATAGTTAATATTATTTCCGCCTCATTTCCTATCCTTCTAGTTACTTCCATGTTTGACATTCTTTGAATCCATGATATTCGTAGGATTCTTCTGTAACACCAAAATTCAAAGGCGGCCAGCTTATTCAGATGAACTTGTTTTAGTGTCCAAGCTTCCAGACCATAGAGAACACGTAACATCGAAGCATTCTCAGGTGTAGTTCTAACCTTATATCCCGACAACAAAGAAACTTTTTAAGTTTAATAAATGATGTACGTGCTATTTCAATACGTGTCTTAATTTCTTTGGTTTGGTCTACATCTGATGTTATCCATGTTCCTAAATATTTATAGTTATTAACATTCTCAATTGCAGTATCTTCAATAGTCAATTGGATATTTGCATGTGCAGATTAAGTCATGATCATGCATTTAGTTTTCTTTAAATTTATCTTCAGTCCGTACTCATGACAGCGTTCATTAAGGCGTTGCATTAGGTTCTGTAAATCATTGTTGTTATCCGTAATTATTACTGTATCGTCTGCAAAACGTAAGTTATTCAAAACTTCTCCATTGATAGATATACCTTCTATTGAGTCTGAGACGCTCAAACTACTCCAATCTAATGACCGCCATTTGACCAGTAGGACCATCCGATCTAAATTTGCCGATCTTAAAACATATAAATAATTTGAATTATGTTCAAACTGAAGTGTTTTCTGGCGTACACTCAGAGTTACATAAGCAAGCTGATGAAGAGTTCTAACGTACTTCAGAATATATAGATCCTAAACTGTTTAAGCAGATCGAACTTAACGACTTGGTTAGGCATCTTGGGTGAACAAAAAAAGCTGAATTGCTTGGTTCTAAACTAAAAAAGAACTTGTTGGCAGTTGGAACAGTTTTTGAACAAGAAGTTGATTTAGTGTACTACTCAGACATTCCAGGTCTGATGAACCAGTTTGGAGTTGAATACAAAAAAGAAAAGACTGTTTATTGATTCATTCAAAGCTAGTTTAAAAGCTGTTTTAGTACACAATGGTAAGAAATGCATCTATACCTGTTGGCCATTCCGTAAATATTAAAAAGAGCTATAAAAACCTAGAAATAGTATTGAATAAAATTGGCTGTTCTACTCACGGTTGGATGGTATGTGGTGATTTAAAAGTAACATGCATGCTTCTTGGTCAACAAGGTAATTTTATCAAATTTCTATGTTTCTTGTATGAATCGGATAGTAGAGCTAGGGATCAACATTGGTGCAGAAAGAACTGGAATGTGGGGGAGCGTTTAAGCCCCGGCGAGATAAATATCCACTGTAAAAATTTTGTAAATCCTAAAATATTCTACTACGACCTCTACATAAAAGTTAAGCCTCATGAAACAGTTTGTAAAGACATTACCTAAAGATGGACCTGGTTTTAAGTATATCTGCCAGAAGTTCCCAAATCTTTCAGAAGCTAGACTTTTAAAGACGTCTTTGGCATCACAATGACCATAAATGAAAAAGAAGCATGGGTATCATGCAAGCAAGTTGTTACAAAATTTTTAGGAAACGTAAAAGACCCAGAATATGGTACAATTGTAGCGAACATGAGGATGTTTGATCAGCCTGAAAGTTCTCTTTTGAACAGTCATCTTGATTACTTCCCGAAAAATTTGAGAGATATTAGGGACGAGTAGGGTGAGCGTGCAAAAATAATAACAAGCTTTCCCACAATAATATTGAACAACAGATGCAGGAGAATTTAAATACCGAAATATCAAAAATTCTTAAAAATAACAATGAACCGCTGGAAAAGTGGAGTGAAATTAAAGAAGAGATTAGGACTTCAAGCACTAAGTTTTTACTACCTGATAAGAGACAAAAGAAAGACTGGATGACTGCAGAAATCCTTGACATGATGGAAGAGAGACGGATATATAAAACTAAAGATACTGCCAAATATCGTGAAACCCATAGACGAATAAGAGCTGAGATAAGAAAAACTAAAGAGAAATGGTTCTCGGAGAGATGCGAAGAAATCGAACAGTGCGAAAAGGTATACGACTATCACAATATGCATAACAAGATAAAGGAACTCACAACAAAGAAAAGCTACAATATTTAATCGAAAGGGCTGTGCGATGATAATGGAAATCTACAACTAGACCCCGACAAAATAGTTAGAATCTGGGAAACTTATGTGGAACAACTGTTTAATGATGACCGTCCTAGTGGGTATACACTGAGCAATGATGATACTGGCCCTTCTATTATAAAATCAGAAGTGGAGAATGCTATAAAGGGTCTTAAAAATAACAAAAGACCAGGCAACGATAACGTATACGGGGAAGTATTGAAAATGCTGTGCGAAACAAACAGTCAATTTCTAGACTCACTCGTCAGACTCTTTAACAATATTTATAACAGCGGGGAGTTTGCTGAAGACTGGCTAGAGTCAACTTTTGTTGCCATACCGAAAAAACCAAAAGCAAAGTCTTGTGATCAACATCGGATGATAAGTCTAATTAACCACATTTCGAAGGCATACACCAAGGTTATTTACAACAGAATAAGCAAAAAATGCGAGGATAACATTGGAGATTCGCAGTTTGGGTTTCGGAATTCTCTTGGGACAAGAGAAGCACTTTTTAGTCTAAAGGTACTCATCCAGCGCTACAGAGATATGAACAAAGACGTGTATATATGCTTTATAGACTACGCAAAAGCATTTGATAACGTAAGGCACGAAAAGATAATTGAAGTTCTCCATAAGATCGGAGTCGACTACAGAGACATTCGAACAATAGCGAGTCTCTATTGGGGTCAAACAGCTTAAGTGAAAGTAGGATCTACATTGACCAATAAAATTGAGATCAAGAAAGGGGTACGACAGGGCTGTATCTTGTCTCCAATTCTCTTTAATATATACTCAGAAGAAGTATTTAAGACAGAGCTGGAGGAAAGCACAGAAGGCATAAAGATAAATGGAGAAATAATTAATAACATAAGGTATGCTGATGACACTGTGATTCTAGCAAGTAGCATGGAGGAACTGAGTTGCCTAATGAGTAAGATACAAAAAACAAGTGCACAATACGGACTCAGACTAAATATCACAAAAACCAAATGGATGTTAGTAAGCAAAACCCAACAACCACCACAGCAACTGATATTAGACAATGAAAGAATTGAACACGTGGATTCGTACATCTACTTGGGAACAACAGTTAACTCAAATTGGGATCAAGCGAAGGAAATACGTATAAGAGTAGAAAAGGCAAGAGCATCGTTCACTAGCATGAAGCAAATTTTCGCCTCTAAAAGCCTCACCCTACCTCTTAAAATTCGACTTCTGAAATGTTATGTATTCCCGGTTTTGTTATATGGAACGGAGGCGTGGACAATGACCGCAACATTGATGAAAAAAGTAGAGGCCTTCGGAATGTGGGCTTACCGACGTATATTACGTATATTTTGGACTGAGCATGTGACCAACGAAGAGTACTACGCCGGATAGGTAAAGAGAGAGAGGTAGGAATAGGTATAAAGAAAAGAAAGTTGGAATACTTGGGTCACGTTATGAGACATAATAAATATAGAGTACTACAGCTGATCGTTCAAGGGAAATAGACAGCAGAAGGGGTCCAGAGAGGAGAAGACACTCGTGGCTCCAAAACTTGCGGCAATGGTTCGGATTATCATCTGCTGAACTATTCAGATCTGCCGTAAACAAAGTCATAATAGCCATGTTGATTGCCAACGTTCGGAACGGACAAGACACATGAAGAAGAAGGGTGAGCGTTTTCACCAGGACATTCAATTTATGGAAAAACGCTACAAGGGACGCTGGAACACCAGCATGATGGGTGACTACAGTTGGTCACTTTACCGAGAAGCTCTACAAGCGGTTCGTTTCAGAAAAAGCAACACAAGAAGCTTTAAAAAGAGAAATTGAGTATAATACCAATTCCATCTGACTAGAATGAACCTACATTCCTACACTAGATTATTATTTAACCTACTGTAAACCTATTAAGTAACCTACTGTAAATTAAAACCATAATTCTGATTTATCATAGTATTTCATTAATTTTACCATATACCGTATAGTGATTTTAAACTATATCAAAATAAAAATTGGTTTGGTAAAAGCTATGGGTGGTAAGAACGGAGACCAGATTTGGTATTAGCACATGAAAATGAGCTATTAAAGTCGAAAATATTTTTAACCATAATATTTTTGTTGGTTCTTGTAATTAAAGTATCGAAATATTACCTATATACTAGTAAATTAATAGTGCTCATAGTGTGAGAAAATCGTACCAGGTGTGCTATTAGGCATGTGTCTGTGTATATAAGCTAGAATCAGTACTCAATGTTAAAAATTATTAACATATCGCATGCCACGGTGCATGTATTAAACTAGTGTCAAAACATGCAGAAAACCTAATCAAACCTATTATTTTTCGCTCGCTTCCGAGCTCATGTCTATATAGCGCAAATCATCGGTCAGAATCTTGGTAGTACTAGAAGAATCAGACAGGGAACTATTCGGTATCGCCAAGACGAACACTAATCGTAGCCTAACAAGAGATCTCTGCAGCTGGCTGTAACTAAAAGATATTATTTTGCCATTGGATATGTAATGACCCTTGCCACTTGTTTAAACTTATTTACCATATTTTTTGAAGAAAGTCACTAGCTGTGTACAAGATATGGCACCAGTTCGTAAACTAACGTAATTTCGCTTAAGAAACTTCTGCGGAACCCATGATTCGACAGGGGAGGTAAATCACAATCAGACAATAGAGTTTCTCAGATCATTAACTAGTGAAGGAACTCGTATAGGACAGCTAGAAAAAATTTAGTGGCTGGTAAGCTGAAAAATCTATTCCTTGAACTGGACAAGCTAGATGTGTCTATCATTGGGATGAGTGAGACAAGTTGACCAAACACATCAATAATTATGAAATAGCACATAAGTAAGTATGTTACTTTACGAGAAGAAGAAGAGAAGGCTCTTAATTAACTAAGAACCAAAAAAACAGGAATCGATGGCATACCAGTGGAAACTCTAAAAGCAATAAACGATATTGGCATAAATGTAATATTGAATGTATGTAACAGGATATGGATTACAGATGAATGGCCTGATGAGTGGTGTAAATAAACCTTTATTTCTATCTATAAACAAATTCTATAGATGGCGTGACCATAGATTGTTTAGAGTGAATATTAAAAAACAGACGAGAGTAGAATAAAAACAAACTCATTAAACGAGAACGATACCCAACCACCGATGTCCTGATTAAAAAACAAACGGAATACCAAAAAAAAACTAAGCACAAGACTAAAATCAATAGAGACACTGAAACAAATGGATATAAACGGACTAGCCAATTAAATAAAAGTAACTGTAACAACATGGGTTAAGAAAATAAGCTCAAACACGAAAACAGCCAAAACATCTAATCTCCAACCTAATACAATGAAACTACTCCAAGAAAGGCGAAACAGAACAGATCGAACTTCGGACAGCTTCAAAAGTTTAAACAAAAACGTGAAGAAATAAATTATGAACGATCATAGAAACTATACTAATAATCTAGTAAAAGATATAATACAAGATAACTGCAATATGAAAATACTGAAAGCAAAAAATTCAAGCGGCATAACAAAAATCATAGAAATAAAAAATGAAAAAAACGTCACCGTCCGAGACAGAAAGGAATTGAGCGAGACCATTGAAAAATTCTACACTAAATTATACTCGGTAAATACACAACCACAACAACGACGTACTGAACGAACAATGAACGAACACCGACTCAGAAGAAATACCGAACATAACCGACTGACTGAAATAATGTCCGGGGAGGATAAAATTACAGTTGAAATGTTGAAAATTGGTTGGAGAAAAATGGAACAGGTATTAAATATTTTATTTAATAAAGTACTTGATGAAGGAAAGATTCCTCAAGAATGGTACAACTTCGAATTACCTACCAATATCCTTGTTATCACATCTGTATAAATTACTAACTAAAATCATAACCAACCGCCTAACACATAAGCTCGATTTCTATCAACCTATCGAGCAGTCTGGAAAATCATGCTTGGAATATCACTGAGAGACAAGATTAGAAACACCGAGATAAGACGTAGAACGAAGATTAGGGATATTGTGGAAGAAATTACAAAAATGAAATGGCGTTGGGCAAGTCACGTAGCCCGATATAATGACAACAGGTGGACATGGAGAATTTTAGAATGGAGACCAAAGACGACAACAAGAAGCATGGGAAGACCACAAAAACGATGGGTAGGTGACATAAGAGCAGTGGCAGGCAAACAGTGGATTAGATTGGCGCAAGATAGAGAAAGATGGAAGCAATTGAAAGAGACCTACATTCAGGAGTAGATGGAAAATGGTTGACAAAAAGATGCAGTAATTATATTACCGTTGCTGCTATTCCGATTGCAAGCTAAATCCCATATAAGCAATGAACGGCTAAAGATCTTTCTAAAAATAATTCCAAAGCTAGCCGTAGAACAATGCGGATCTTTACCAGAACGAGTGAGCAGATATTGAACACCAGACAGATAATAGAACAAGCAAGGGTACACAATAAACCAATACTGCTTTGTGCAATAAATTATACAAAGGCTTTTATGCAGCAAAATGGAATCCCTCTGGAGTATAATGCGAAATATGGGAGTACCGAACTCCCTAATTAATCTAATATGAAATATGTGTGATAAAAGTACGTAATACATTCAAAAACAAAGAAAGAAACTAGACATGGCTGCATAATATCACCATTATTATACAATATAATAATATGTTCTGAATATATAATGAAAGTACTAGACGAATGGGATACTAGAGGTACTAGAAGAATCAATATAGGAGGAAGAAAAGTTAGAAACCTGCAATGTGCAGATGACACACTTATACCAGCAGCTTATGAAGTCGAAATGATTACCATCACCTAATGGCTAAGTCAGATAAGACAGATGAGACAAGAATTCAAACTTCAGATTAACACCTGAAAAACAAAAATAATTATAGGAGATAGGGTAAATAATAATTTACCGCACATACACCATGTAACGAATTTCGAAGTACTGGACAGATTTGTATATTTGATCTCTATGAGAACCAATAATATCGAAAAACTGAACGATTACAAGGAATACTAAGTTCAGGTTTAGAATTTCCACTAGTATACTCCAAAGACTCTTCTAAAATGTAGAGAACTTAACTGAAGATAAAGAGGTGATGATAAGAGCCTTTTTGGATATGGAGGGGGCTTTCGACAACACTTCGATAACATCCATAACGTAGTGCTTCGTAGAGAATTCAAGGACATATGTTGAACTGGATAGAATATTTGCTCAGGAATAGAGCGATAAAAACCACTATCCTTGGAGAGACCGTGTTGGCCCGTGTCGACAGAGGATATCGGCAAGGGAAAGTTCTATTCCCACTGCTGTGGAAACTGATGATGGATAGACTATATGACGGATATACTTTAAATGCAAACGGTCATAAAACAATTAGAGATACAGATGATTTGGTGATCATCTCGCAAGGAAAGTACAATACGGTATTTAGAGATCGCATGAACGAGGCCACAGAACTAGTGTCACAATGGACTTATAGAGAGGGGTTAAAGTTAAAGGGGTTAAAAACCATAGTTGCCTTCACACGCAGACGGAAACTAGAGGAATTAGGTTCTCTAAAGCTGGAGGGATAAATAATTTAGCCAAATGGAGAGGTAAAGTATCTCGGGGTTATAAAGGGTGTTTTTTTAGAGGTATAGAACTTTTAATTGGAATAAAACAAAGACGATTTTTTTAATTGACATAAAATTGACTTTATTCAAAAGATAATCTTTTAGGATTATAATTTAAATATGATTTCTGGCATATGACCGCCACGGATGGCTCTAACGTAGTCTAATCTGGAGGTCCAATTTTCGATGACTTTTTCCAATATTTGTGGCTGTATATCGGCAATAACGCGGCGAATGTTATTCTCTAAGTAGATAATCGTTCTACTTAGCGATAAGCCTACTTATCGCTAAGTAGATAAGCGATAAGTAGGCTTATCGGCGTAGATTAGCAACTTCACATATTTCCACAGAAAATAGTCAGGTGGTCTTAAATCGCCCGCTCTTGGAGGCCAATTCACAGGTCCAAAACGTGAAACTATGCGGTTACCAACGGTTTCTGTCAATAAATCTATTGTGGCATAAGCTGTATGACATGCGCCGCCTTGTTAAAACCACTGCTTCTGTACATCATAGTTGTTCAAATGAGGAATAAAAAAAGGCAGTAATCATGACTCTATATCAGTCACCATTGACTGTAACATTCTGACCAGCATCATTTTTGAAGAAATACGGACCAATGATTCCACCAGCCCATAAAGCACATCAAAGAGTTACTTTTTCTGGATGTAATGGTGTCTCAACATATACTTGAGGATTACCTTCACTCCAAATCCAGCAGTTTTTGTTTGTTGACAGAGGCATTCAACGAAAAGTGAGCTTCACTGCTAAACAAAATTCGAACGGCAATCTTGTTTTGGGCTCACTCACAGAATCTACGCCTTGCTAGATGATCGTGTTGCTTTAATTCTTGCACGAGTTGGATTTTGTAAGAACGTAAACCAAGATCTTTTCGCAAAATCTTTCATAAAGTGGATGGACACATATCTAACTGCTGTGCACGATAGAGGATAGACTGATTCGGGTCTTCCTCTATGCTACGCTCTACATCAACAACAACTTCTTTTATACGCACTGTATTACGTCTCTGTGGATGTATATTATCATTTAGAGTAAACGTGGTGCGAAAGCGTTCCATGAATAATCGTATTAATTGCTCTGATGGACGATTACGTTGACCATAAAATGGACGTAGTGCGCGATAAGTATTTAGAACAGAACCATGATTTTCAAAATAAATTTGCACAATTGCAGCGTTGGAAGAATTGCAGAATTGGAAGCTTTGTTCAGGCGTCAGTCTATTCATGATAAAATTCCAAACCCAACTAAACGTAAATCACTTAACAAATGTCAAAAGGGCCGTCAGTTAAAAAAGTGTTGCCAACTTACATTTCTATACCTCTAAAAAAAACACCATTTACTAGATTCGAAATTTACCTGGAACCGGCAATTCGAAAAAATAACAAGCATTGCAGTTACAACAATTATGAGAGTCACACGTATATATAGGAAGAAATGGGGATTAAAACCGGACATGGTGCACTGGGTGTACACCATGGTGATGAAACCCTCAATTACCTATGTAGCGACGATGTGGTGGACTAGACAATTTAAGCAGATGCAAAAGCCAAACTCAGCAAGGTGCAAAGACTTGCCTGAATTTAAGCTATGGAGGCTCTACTAGGCCTGTCTCCCTTGCATTTTATAATACAAAGTGAAGCAAGATTGGGGGCCGAGATAATTAAACAATCACTGAAACTTTGCAATTAAGAGACAGGGCATATAAATATCACAAGGAATGTGACAAAGGACATCTTTAATAAGAAACCAGATCACATGACAAAAAAATAAATTTTGTAAAATTCATATGGGGTGTCTATTCTAGCCAGGACTGTATAAAGAAACAAGGAGAACCATGACCAACAGGATAAAATCTGGTATACAGATGGATCCAAAACTACAAAGGATGTAAGGACAGGATTATACTCCAAAAATCCAAGAATTAGCGACAGCTTTGCTTTGAAATATTAAGCGATATATAACTGCTGTAGCTGGAAAGCAGTGGATGAGAATTGCAAAAGATAGGGAAGCATGGAAGTAATTGGAGGAGGCCTATGTCCAACATTGAATAAATGAAGGCTGAAGAAGAAGATTAAGAGAGATCTTGAAAAAGAGCAGATCCATATATTATCTGAGAGCCAAACGGCACTGAAGGTACTGTCATGTCAGAAAGTGACGTCTAGGTTGGTGTACGACTGCATCAAAGAATTTAATGAATTGGAAGACCGAAATAAGGTTGAGCTTGTCTGAATACCAGGATATCAGGGCATCAAAAGCAACGAAAAAGCAGATCAACTTGCAAAAAAAGATCGAACGAATCTGGATCAGCTGTAACTATAGGAATACCAAAGGATACAGTTCATAGAACTAGAGAGGACTGAATCAGATAGGGTCACGAGGGATATTGGGAGGAAATCCCAAAACAAATACATGGAAAAATCTTCATTGGTGGACCATGTAGAAAAGAATAGAGAAATCACTTTAGTAATAGGAATGTTGACCAGGTATGCACCAGTAAGAGAATTTCTGAATAAAATAGAAATTTATTTGCAATAAAGACCTTAACTGCAGACTCTGTAACAAGGAACTAGAAAATGTAAAACATTTATTAAGTGATTGCTAGGCTCTGGATCATAAAATACAAAAACTATATGAGCAACTAAGAGGAGACTCTGGTATATTTAAAAAACACCAGGCAAAAGATCCGTACAACTTCTACAGAAAACTGTTACAAAAATTATAGACCGGGTGTAGAAAACAACAATGGGCAGCAAACACAATAAGCTTAAGCTTCAGTGATAATTGAGATCTCTCCGATCAGACGGGTTTAGGGAGGAAAAAAACTCAGATTTGTCCTTATTTTTTCCATTGCCATATTTGCAGCTGAAACATGGACTCTCAAAAAATTCGATAGAAGTAAGATTCGAAATGTGAGTCTACAGAAGAATTATGCAAACCACAGAACCAACCTGTCAGTACTAGAAGAGCTTCACATAAAACAGAGTATTAAAAAAAGTACACAAGGCATACCTAAATTGCTTCGACCACATAACTAGAAGAACGGGGACTATGAAACTATTAGCAGTAGACGAAAATATAGATAAAGATAAAGTGGCTAAAGACCAATAGGAAAATCTTTTGGTCCGGAAAAAAGGTCTTGGAAAAAAGATGCGTATTTATCGTAATGATGCTATGTTGCCAATTAGCGTATTCTTTGTATCTAGAATTTTATAATAATTATATTAATAAATAAATTTTAATGTAAACCCTACTTCTTCAAAGGCTATTTAGTTAATTAAATACATAGAGTTACTTACACTTGATTTTCTTCAAGATTCTGGTAATTTTCATCGACGCTTAACGAGAATTGCGAGTTTTCTGGAAGCGGTCTACCAAAAATAATTCCAGTTAATACAACGAATATGAATGTAGACCCTTCTTGGACTAGATCGTCCACAAATGACCATCTGTTTGGTAGTCTTGTTTCTAGTTCATAGAGAAGTACACGTGTACCGTATAGGTAAACCAATAGAAGCACGAAGAAAACGCGGAATCTGTTCAACATTGCACATCTACCAATCGATCGTGGTCTAGCCTGAAAAAAATAAAATATTTCACAGAAAATGTTAGGTTAAAAGTACGAGGGAATATCTGTAGATCGATGTCATATCTCACGTTTCACTCTATATTGTTGAGTGTAGGTTTGTGCTGACAGCTATAAAAAAAGATTTTTGGGTAGAAATACACAAACTCACAATAATATTAATATCAGTTGTACTTCTACATACGAGTTTAATTCGTTTCGTAACCTTACTCTATCTTAAAGCAATCTTCCCTAATGAAATTAATTGAAATGCCATTATTGCGTTTCAGCTTTCGAAACACCAAATACATATTCTATAAAAACATGAGAACAAGTAAAGTGCTTACGGACGCGCTTAATTTCAGTCACTGGTTTTCGCTTTTTTCATCACGCTTTGGTCATTTTCACCTACAGATCGTTTAAAAAAACTGTCCAAGAGGTTTGTTTCTTCTTCCCTTTCAGGATATTGCGGAAATGAGTTGGGCTAGTTTCGTTGAAGAGCTCCGATGCCGACCAGTTGCAACTTTTTTGTGGTGATTTTTATTCACGAACTCTGCAACTTTTTTCCGCATTTCCAAGAACCTCCTCCATCTCTGGCTCCTCTTCAAAACCAATTCTTTATTGAATCACCGTATGCTTCTGCGAATGTAGATCGTGTAACTCCTCGGTTGTTAGATTCTAGGACTGTTCCTCGAAGAGTGTGTTCACGTCTCTCTCTCTCTCTCCACCACCAGATCCATAAATTTTCACAGAGAAACAATTTCCTCTGCCATTGTAACGATGTCATCACCGTTCAACAGCTTGAACCGTAGGAGTGTCAGCGTTGGCGCTTCCACCTCCTTAGCACGATGTGAGTGGGGTTCAGAGCAACTATTTAAGGCATATGAATAGCGGCATTTATTCAGTCTTTAGCTTAGCGCCTTAGGCTCCTCTCTTCGCCAGTGTCCTGAACTGGCGAGCCCACCCGGACGGAGGTAGTTCTGCTTTGAAGTTCATGCTCCGTCCATAATTAAGCAGAGTCTACCGATATCGTGTCTTGAACTTTATCGCGGACCTGCATAAGCGATTTTGTAGTTGACGAGTGTGTTCGCAGCTCCCGCTGGTTTGAAGCGGAAGCGAATATACGTCTGAGTGCGATTGAATACACCTATTTTATTTGTTATTAATAATTATTTTCTTTCTTTCTTTTATAGACGTCCGCCGGGGATTCATTCATCGCGGGATCCAGACGGAGCGCAGAGTTAATTTCTACGTTTATTTTTATACGGCACAGAATTTATTTTATTTTCATTTATATTGTACATATATTAGATCAATAGACATATTTTTATTTTAACCTGTGTTTTACTGAGTCTGTCGTCCTGAAAGAGCTACCCGTTACAAATTGGCGCCCGAGAAAAATTGAGGATTGGAAAGTTACTAAAAAAAAAAAAAAAAAAAAATTTAGTAACATGCCGACAGATAAGGACACAGACTCAGTAACAGGTACATCCTGGATAAACCGACTTTGCAAAGAGGAATTGCAGAGCGAGGCCGAAAAATTCGGCTTAGATTCCAAGGGAACCGTCGACGAATTGAGAGTACGACTCAGGATATATTTTAAAAATCGCGAGGAAGCGACAGGAGCAATGCAAAAAGAAAAAACTTCCAAGGGAACAGAATCCGACACACTGGCCCAGGAAATTTCGGGCATCCGAAGACAATTACAAGAATTAACAATAGCGAAACAAATGGGGCAATCAGAATTGCTAAATCAAGTACGAAGGTGGAACACACACTTCGACAAGAAACATTCGGATGCAATAGGATTCTTAGAGAGGATAGACGAATTAAGCTTGGCCTACGAGATCGATAAACAAGATCTATTAAGAGCATTACCAGAGTTATTAGGAGACCACGCTTTGTTATGGTACAGAAACAATAACAAAAATTGGAAGTCATGGGCAGATTTCAGCGAAGATTTTAAAAAAGCTTTCTATCCCAGAGGATATTTGCTGCAACTAGAGGAGCAAATCCGAAACAGAAAACAGAGACAAAATGAGCCGGTAGATAGATATATCACGGAGATTCAAACACTAACCAGACGAGAAGGATCGTTTTCCAGAAACCAAGAACTCGAAAGGATATACAAAAATCTGTTACCAGAATATAAGCTTTATGCTCGCCGCCGAGATTTTGAAAACTTAGCCGAATTACAAGATTTAGCTCAAGAATACGAAGCTTTAGAAGACGAAAAGAACCGATCAAATCAGAGTCGCCGTGGAAACTGGAGACGCACGGACCAAGCAGAGTACGATGCCAAAACGACATGCTTTAGATGCAAGATGCCAGGTCACATCCGTAAAAACTGCAAAAACCCGTGGAAAAAGTTTTGTTCGCGTTGCGGCAGAGAAGGGGTTTACAGTAGCGACTGCTGTTTTAGGCGTCAGGGAAACGAACTACAGACTGGAGAAACAAGGAGTCGTCCCAGTCTGTAAAGCAAGATTCGACTCCATTCGTTTTCGCCGTTACACAGCCAGCAAGCAATGACATTCGGCTGTTCGCATCGCTGAAAATAGGGCAAAGAACATACAGAGCGCTCATCGACACAGGAACCACTAAAAATTACGTCGGGGATAGAATAGCTAAGACATACAAAGACTCTCTAGATAGCTACAGCGGGAGAACAAGACTAGCAAATGGAGCGTCAATGGAGCTTAACCAGAAGTTGACGATTGAATGCGAGATCGATAGGTTACAAACCCGACAAACATTCATAGTAATGCCAGGGTTGACGGAAGATGCCTTACTAGGAGTGGAATTCCTTAGGAACCATTCTATCGAACTTAAATTCGATAAACATACGAGCAAACAATTCGTACAACATCAAGAAGAGGCATGTAATACTTTAAAAGACTCCACCAAAAATACAGAGCTAGAAAGGTTTCTAAGAAAAGAACTAAGGGAGTTTGAGAACATAACAGGACCCACTAACTTAATAGAACACGAAATAAAATTGAAGACAAAATGCGATCCAGTCAAACAGCCTTATAGACGACACAATCCCGCAATGCTGCAGATCATCAACCAAGAAGTAGACAAGATGTTAAAAGAAGGAACCATCGAACCCTCCACAAGTGGTTGGAGTTCACCGATTGTACTAGTTAGGAAAAAAGATAACTCGTACAGGTTTTGCATTGACTTTAGAAAAGTCAACGAACTATCAGATAAGGACGCATATCCGTTACCCAGAATATCGGAAATTCTGGATAGACTTAAGGAAGCAAATTTTATATCAACCCTCGATTTGAAACAGGGATATTTTCAAATACCCCTAGAAGAAACTAGCCGCCCAGTGACAGCATTCAGCGTACCCGGAAAAGGCCATTTTCAGTTCAAAACCACCCCATTTGGACTGCATTCCGCAGGAGCCACTTTCCAACGCCTACTAGACAAGGTAATACCTCCTGATATGGAATTCGCGTTTGCCTACTTGGATGATATCGTAGTAATATCTAAAACGCTCCAAGAGCATTTAAGTCACCTACAGGAAGTCTTCCGAAGACTGAAAGAAGCCAAGTTACAGCTGAACTTTGAAAAATGCACGTTTTGCCAGTCAGAACTCAGATACTTAGGACATGTGGTTGGAGCAGAAGGAATAAAAACTGACCCGGAGAAAACCAACGCTATAACCGGACTTACAGCACCGAGAAATGTGCGTCAACTCCGCCGGTTTCTAGGAATAACATCATGGTACCGCCGATTCATAGAGAACTATTCGACAATAGCAGGACCGCTAAACATGCTTCTGAAGAAGAAGATAAGATGGAAATGGACCGATAAGCAAGAAAACGCGTTTGAAGAGCTAAAATCAAAACTTACATCGGCCCCAGTATTAGCATGCCCCGATTTTTCAAAAACATTTTACCTGCAAACAGATGCGTCGAACTGCGGACTTGGAGTCGCACTAACACAGAAGTACGACGGCCAGGATAAAGTAATCGCATATGCTAGTCGAACCCTCACACCGGCCGAGACAAAATATTCCACAACGGAAAAAGAATGTCTATCCATCGTATACGGGATAAAGCAAATGAGGCCATATATAGAAGGATACAATTTTAAGGTCATATCAGACCATCAGTCCCTCAAATGGCTGAAGAACCTTAAAAACCCGTCAGGTCGATTAGCCAGGTGGAGTTTAGAACTGCAACAGTACGATTTTGAGGTAATATATAGAAAGGGAGTCCTCAACAAGGTAGCAGATGCTTTGTCACGACAACCACAGGAAAACCAGAGCGAAGAACCAGAGTTGGAATTATTAGCATCAGAATTGGAATCATGCAGTTGGTACGATAATTTATATAGAAATGTACTCCAGAACCCAGACGATTTCCCGGATCTACAAATAACAAACGGGAAGTTATATAAACACATTTGGAGCAGCCGTAATTTAGCCGACCCAGAGTTTAATAACCCATGGAAGTTATGCGTACCAAGATATAAAAGGAAAGATATTTTGGAGGAAAATCATGACTCGACCACAGCAGGCCATTTAGGAATTGCAAAAACAATTTGCCGAATAGCGCAAAAGTACTATTGGCCTAAGATGTTTAAACAAATCGCAGACTACGTTAGAGCTTGTACGAAGTGCCTCCAATATAAACCGTCTCAAATGCAACCAGCCGGGAAAATGCAACCGTCCACTGTAGAAAAGCCTTGGCATACTGTCTCAGTTGATTTAATGGGACCATTCCCAAGATCTGCAAAAGGAAACATTTTCTTAATAGTCGCGCAAGACCGGTTTACCAAATGGGTCGTTGCCCAGCCAATAAGAGCAGCATCTACGAACTCCATCATCGACACTTTACGATCGAAGGTAATTATGCAGTTCGGCATCCCGACGAAAATCATTTCGGACAACGGCGCGCAGTTCACAAGCAGCAATTTTAAGGCGTTCCTAAAGTCCTATAACATAAATCACATTCTAACACCGCCGTACTCACCTCAAGGCAATCCAGTAGAACGAATGA